CCCAGCCACCCAAACACATCGTTGTTGAGCCTGTTTCCATTCTAATCTTCTTCGAAGTTGCTGATTTTTCATGTTTTTTCCTATTTCATGTATACTATCTCCCGGCAGCAGAATTCTTGAGTAACAGGAGAGTTTTCGGGAAATTCCGGAGAAATTGGTAGGGTGGTGGGAAGTTGAGGAGTGCGGAGAATGCGAGAAATGGGAATCGTAATTTCTTCGTGCTCTTTCTCCGTTCCACATGGGTTTGAGGAATATCAACATCAGAGGAGGGAACTAAGTGGGTGGAGAGGTTGTATCAAGCCACCCTTAGGGTGGTACGGATTCGATCAGAGTCCCCAACTAATGAAGTGCCCTCTTCACCTTGCGAGATGGGTTGCAGTCGACGGTATGTTCCCTTAAAGGCAATGACACGATGAATCCTCCAAGACGAGCAGGACTAATACGCCTGGCAGGACGGAATTCCGCGACCCTGAGCAGGCGCTGCATAATGCCTTTTCCAGGGAAGGTGCCCTTATAAGGGCGCTATCAAGCCACAACTTTACGTCCCAAACGCCCCCTTGCCCGCCCGCCCACAAATGGACGACTGTTCCAGACGCTCTAATTGATTCATTTGCTAAGCAAATTATGAAGCGAAGGCATTGGTATGAAGCGGTCGTGATGCTGCATAGCACCCTCCTCGCTCGCTATGGAGTCGCGAAAGTGAGACAGACTCTCAAGTTATCTGGGGGTGGACTACATGCGCAAGGAAGGGCGACCACGATACTTGAGCGTAGAGGCTTTCTCTAATGAGTAGAAGGGAGCAGTAGAGGAGAGGTCTGCCAATAAGGTGCTCTCAGTCTCCGCCCATACGATCAGCGTGGAAAATGTTTTTTAGCTTTCCCGATGTTGGTGGAAGGATAAAGACCAGACGTGATCTACAAGAATTTGGACAAGATTCACTTACATTACACTCTATAGCTGATTCGCCTCAATTTTGAGATAAATACGCTCTTTCCGGGCTTATGCTTATGCGGGAAATGATAAATATCAGTCTGATGATCTGAGCTGTGGCCGAGTGGCAATTGAGATCACGTGCGCGATATTCGTACCACCACTTATTTAGTCTAATGAAGGAGTGCCACAGCAAACATAGTCACCTTGCTTCACAGAACAGCCTCTGATCCTTGCCACAACTTCATCATGACCAAGGACCTTGAAGCGAACAGAGACAATTTTGAAGGTGGTGTCCTAAAGCAAAATGTAATTTCTCGTGCATCAGTTGTTTTATTTTGAAAACTTAAGTACTATTTTCTCTTGGAAATAAGAATTCTTCCACATACTTATAGCCGTATGAAGAATTATTAGGGATGACAACCGAACACGATCGTGCCGTTCTGAATCATATTCTCAACCCGCTGATGCCCACAACAGATATGTCGAATTTGGAAGGCGAAGTCGCTGAAGATGGTATGTTATGTTAAGATTGTACGGAGAAGGTGTGTTACACCCAGTTCGCGGTATTGGCGCGAAGTACAAGAGGGGGCGCAAAAAAAGACATGCGGTCGAGTCACATATCAGCAAAGTTTTCGCAGCCCAGAAAGAAGACGTGGATACGAGTACCAGGGCGGAAGATACCCAAGATGTTCCTCGATAAGCAGGAGCAGGCTCTCGCCCATCATCTTTCATGTCATTTGTCGTCATCTTTCATGTCATTTGTCGTCGCAGCCTGAGGCAGCGTTCAGACTTCGCGACGGCAGCGCTTCGGTCGCGCGTTCGACGCGATCAATGCAGTCGAAAGCATGCGCATCGATCGCGTCGAACGCGCGACCGAAGCGCTGCCATCGCGAAGTCTGAACGGTGTCTAATTGAAAAAGGTCTACAGAATTCACATCACCTCCAAACAGCTGCGAAACTTTCCGTATCGAGGATGGACAGCTGGCTGGAGAACGGCACTCTTGATCTGGAAGACCATCATCGAGCAGCTCCTGACAACGTCGCTACGGTCCAGGATATCATCTTCACGCCACTGCCAAGGCGCGGGTTGGTGGTATGGACCGGAAGTTCCTGGAATGGAAAGACCGATATTGTCTTCGTAAAGCCCGAACTGAAAGTGAACGCTGAACATCAACCAACCCGAGGAGCTGACGATTACATGGAACAGCACGAGGAGAATATCCTGCCTGCATGTCGTCGCCTGTACCTTCTTGGAAACTTCGTACTGCTACAGGATTGGGTGCCAGCACATGGAATCGAAGGGCGTTGGAAAAACTCTCGCCTACTTGGAATCGAAGGGCGTTGAGAACCTGAAGAAGACGGGATATCCAAGTGTGTCACCTGACCTGATCCCCCTCGATTACTTGGTCCGGGCGGAGCTGGTGGTCTACAGGGGTGGAGAAATCAACGACCTCGCTGAACTCAGGCACCGAATCACGGTCGCGTGGCAGAATCTCTCGATGGCGCTCGTCCTAGAAGGCTGTGGCAGAGTATCGTAATATCGTACAATGTGTCGTTGCGTATAAAGTGGGAATGTTCGCAAAGGATTTAATGAAGTGTGACTTATATCGCCTTGAAAGTCGAGGAAGAACAGTGCATTTTGCCACCCCTGTAGATCTTGCAAATGGTATTATATATGCGACATCGTGTAGCTGACTTGAAGAATGCACGGGAACGAGGCTATAGGGTTGCGGTACCCGAGTACCATCTCCGCCCGCACTGGCTCACGGCCAGCCACACGCCTAAATGTAGACGAACACGCGACTCCCCTGTGCCCTTTCACTTTATCTACCGCTGAGTACGTGCCTCGCTGCGGGACCTCGGCATCGAGGCAATAGCTATACCTTGAGCATAGCGCCGGTGTAGTGTGAAGATGGCACAGGGCTATCATTCTCCACTAGTTCCGCTGCGGAAAAAAAGGCACGTTACTGCAGCTGCAGATCCACCTTCCCAGATACGGCAAGGAGAAGTAACCACGGAAATGAGTGAACAATTCGTCTTCGGGGAGCATGGTCCCGGTTTTCCTCTTAGTTACAGCACTATAGTACGAAAAGCTGAGTTATAGACCGTTTAGCATACTTACAGCTCCAATCACCACTGATGGCATTGAAGAATCCCGAACGCTGGAAAAAGCAGGAGTTGAACTCGCTGAAAGTGGCAACGTCCGGAAGGCAATAGAGAAATTCAACGAGGCTATCGAGAAGTGTCCTTTTAATCCATCGGCGTTCAATAATCGGCCACAAGCACTACGGCTGGTGGGCAAAACGGAGTGTAAGTCACGATCCCTGCTCATTTGCTATTAGTAAGTAGTCATTCACTGTTATCGAATTATGAGCAGAAGTCATAGATCCTTTCTTCACCCCAAATTCATGATCTCTAATGTAGCACAGGTCCGCACACTGTACAGTACATGCATTATCGCTGACGTTAGTCGGGGTGCGCCAGCAGGGCACGGGTCTTGGCGCGGCGCCAGCCCCTTCCCCAACACTCATTGGACGCTTGAAGCTGCAACAATCGACAGGAAACGGGCTGGAGCAGTGCCAAAACCCACACCTAGCTGACACATACCGTCTAACTTCTGTACGATGTATGTGCCAAGGAAAGTCGAAGGGTCATTGAGATCGCATAATGATTTGATGACCTGTCTTGAGATAGTGATACAGCAAAGGTTTAGACTTCATTATACTTCGGATAACCAATCATCCTCTTACTCTCAATAGCTAGCGGACTTGTGCTAAATCTGCGGGTTTGTCTTGTGAATAACTTCACTCGGAAAATAAACCATACAAGCCAATGCTATTTTCAGAAGCCGTGACCGACTTGAATCAAGCCATCTCACTGAGCAACGGTGCTGGGAGAAGTGCTTGTTAGGCCTTTGTACAGCGCGCTATGATCCACAGGCTACGAGGTGACGACGACTCAGCCAGGGTGAGTATTCCCCAAGCTACCATGAAAGGGGAAGTAAATGAATTTTCTGTTTATGGATGGATTTTCGAAAAGCTTCGGAACTTGGATCGTTACTCGCCAAGATGCAAATGGTCGCCCTCAATCCATATGCCGCCATGTGCAACAAAATGCTAAGCGAAGTGTTCGACAATCTCAAGCAAGGAAAACCAACCGATCAATAAATCTGAAGCATAATTGTAAACTGTAACAGGAATAAGCGCATTTTTATTTGAGCTCTGGTAGCGGCAAAAGCTAACAAATTTCTATTCCAGAACACTATAATTATGTATCATTTCATTGCAGACATGGTCTGTAATAGTAAAACAGTCAAGGACGTAACGAACCCCGAGGATTCCCCCTAGGGCGGGGGTCGTATCTGGTCCGCACAGAAATTCTTCAGTGGAACTGGGGGGTGGAGGGGGAAAGGGGAGATGAAGGGATAATATTCAGTTGCGGTAGGGGTTATAGAGTCATAAGAAGTAAAATAATACAATCGAGCTATTTTGATTAAAATAATTTACAGGTTTTCGGAGTGTAACCTGCACAGGGTGCCTCCACCAAGCCAAACAGAGCCCAAAAGTACTATTTCCAATGGCTGTCTAATGGTTGATTAAAGTGGAGACACGGTACGTCTGTTGAGCAGACCTCAGGGATGATAGATCGTACTTCGCAAAATGCTGCCCCACGCCAAGACGTGCCCTGATTACCCTTGCAGTGGACAACACTCCAGCAGCAGTCTACGGACCACTTGGACTCAATCCCATTACCTGCGCCAACTTTCTGTTTTTCTCTGCGCTCTCCCGTCTGCATCACATTCTTTCTAACAAGGGAGGTCTTTCAGGTCGTGGCGCGCTTTTTGGAAATGGTTTGTTGCTTGTTGTAGGGGTCCATACAAGGATCACAAAAATGGGTTTCATTTTTGCTATGCGTTTCTGGGTAGGTCAAAACTGAGTGAAAAGAATTTGACAAGAATGGGCGGTTTTAACAACCTTAATGGGCTCCGTTCTGCTTGTAACTTCGAGCATGCATAGTTTATGAGGTGGTCACTAATTAGGCCTCAAAATAGATTCGATTAAAGTCAAAATGTAAGTCATGTGGTAACACACTTGGCATGCACCGACGCAAGTGTGATGTTTTTGTCAGCGCTCCCTTCATAATCGGTTCGGATCCTCATTGCGGCAACAGTTTTGCATCTGTATCAACGCAACGAGACGAGAACATTTCCGGAAACAAGGTTCTCCACACAAGTGTGCTGGTTTGTAAGGTGTCATCCAGGAAAGGCCAACAGGACAACCTGGCCATTTGCAGTGAGTGCATATCATTGTACTCGTCTTGACACAGTGAACTCGAAACTACCTTCAAAATTTGCGGAACGATTCTCTGAGCGGAGTTATGGAGGTTTTCCTTCACTGTTTTTCTTCTTGCGGGTGGGCTGGCGCAGTGAATTTGCACCTGTAGCGCGACTCACAGCTCTCTCCGTGCGAAATAGATATCATATTCGTGTTCAGGGGGTCAAACAACCCCTAGAAACGCCACCTTGAGGAAATCCGAGGTTCTGACTCAACTTCGAAAAAATGGGGTAGAGATGGTCACGCCTGGATGATAGCCAATACTCCGACTAGCATACTGGTGATGACTGGTCTTTGCACTGAAATAACCCTTCAGTCATGTCTTTTCGCAAAGAACAATACCTGGCTCACTTGTTCGTGCCGCCTGCATCATTTTCCTGATTACCGGTAGGAAATTCCATCCCAAGACCAGTCATCCATGGTGGGTGGACCCCAGCCTGCTGCTAATTGTCCATAGAATGGCCCACATTTTCCAAGTTAGGTCGAAACGTCAGATTTGGCTAGAAATTAGTCCCCAGGGGTAATCCAACCCGCTGAACATAAATGTGATGGTATTTCATTGCAATAACCCTTCTGACATGAGCTACGAGGGGCAGCACAAGCACACTTTCAGGCCACAATGTGGCCACAAGTATATGCCTTCAAATGGCATATACTTGACTTATTTCCACTGCCAGACACACAGGCACGCGAATGAATGGAAAGCTGAAAAATGCAAAAAAGACTCGTTTAGGAGGATCCGATCCATAAAGTCCCCCGCCGTGCCATCCAGAACCCGTCGTGTTATCCACTGCGCCATCCGATCCGCTGGCAGTGGTCGTGAAGGGAGCGCTGACAAAAACATCACTCTTGCGTCGGTGCATGCCAAGTGTGTTACCACATGATACTTACATTTTGACTTTAATCGAATCTATTTTGAGGAATTAGTGACCACCTCATAAACTATGCATGCTCGAAGTTACAAGCAGAAAGGAGCCCATTAAGATTGTTAAAACCGCCCATTCTTGTCAAATTCTTTTCACTCAGTTTTTGACCTACCCAGAAACGCATAGCAAAAATGAAACCCATTTTTGTGATCCTTGTATGGACCCCTACAACAAGCAACAAACCATTTCCAAAAAGCGCGCCACGACCTGAAAGACCTCCCTTGTAAGACCACTACGTCCCATCCAGTCCCAACTTTTTACGCATGATAAATGGTTCATTCACCCCGCAGACTCCTTTCCCTGAAAAAGCTCATCCTTGCTCTCGCGACATGTTTCTTTTTGCACCTTTCGATGATTTGCCGACCGCAGAACTCCACTGCTCTGCGCTCGGTTTTTCGGGCCAGGACCCTGCCGCGGAAACAACCCGCGGCGGTGTGGCTGAGTGATTTTTTGCACTCAAGCTAATCCTTTGAACAGAGTAGACTATCAGAGACCATGCCTAAGAGCGTGGGAGTAGTTGCGCCGCTGCGAGGCTCTCTCAGTTACAGTAGAGCTTCGTTCTTTACTCCCCACAGTTAACTAACCAAGCTAACATTAATAGTAACAATAACAACTAACAACAGTGAGTCTCATACCCGTATACAAAATAAAGGCACATCGTAAGGCTATACAGACTGAGATACCGCATTGGACCGCTTTAGATAACGAAGTATAGCAATGATCGCTTCTGGCTTGACACCTGGCACTCTGAAATTGTTTCCTTCAGATAGGAGCCAAGAAATTCTAGATCTACTTACAGTCTTGTTCGTTGCGAATGATGGCGGGGGGAGGTGTTATAGTGAGGCTGGGCTTGGCGCGCTGCCAGCTCATTCTCGTCCGACGATAAGGCTAAGGGGCAGCAATTGGTGGAAAGCGACTGATACGAACGATATGATACAGTACTGTCGCTTGCCGAGTGATAAAAAAAAATGATATGCCGCGGCGTCAAACCCATCCCCCTTCAAGTGCCCCATCATTCGCAGTGAACAAGACTGTGTTGACCACACGCTAAATCAAATTTAGGTGTATAAATGAAGTTGCAAAATTAAAATAAAAGATAAAAAAATTGACCTGGAAGCAGCAGCTAGATTGAGAGGACGTGCACGCTCCAGTTTCTCCCAACATTCACCGCTAAGACCTTGCAAATTGCTATAGTCTATATCTTCTGGTATGAGAGTGCTTGATTCTCGATCGATTTCTTTCATCTGAACACAACCGTTTGAAACTAGATACACTGTGAAACCCAGAGATGTGGTAGGCGTGGCCGCGTACTTCAACCAAACAAACGGTAACTGTGCTTTAAAAGGGATATTTTTATTTTGACACGATTGTGGTCATGTCTCTGTCCTAATACTGAACAAGGAGACAGTTGTCTCGAGGTGAAGTATCCCACGAGTGATCCTTTCTATGCCTCGTTCAAATCCCATGCCTACCCCGTCTCAGAGGTAAAGAGTGTATTGAAAATTATTCATGCTCTGGTTATAATAGCAACGATAAAAGGCCAGGATCTAAACGATTCGACGGCAAGTGTTGCAATATGTCGAGTCAACTTACTAGGGAACACTGATAATGTCCGTAGGCCGCATTTATTACTTACGACCATTTACAACTCTTCCTTAGTCACTCCCTCGCCCCGTCACCAATGTATCGTCGAACACAAACCCTTGCCCGGTGTTGGCCCATGCTGGAATGGGGCGAAAGAGGCGCTGACAGGCCAATTATTCGTATTAAAACCCAGTCGACAAGAAGAACTCTGCTAATTTGCGTACGATGCCGCAAGTCAGAATCACTGATATACAACCCCCCGCACACCTCGAGAGAAGCAATCGACGAATTGATTTCGTTAATTGGGTCCCCACTTCGTTTTCCATGAATTATTCTCAACATGAATTATTCTCAAACAAGTTTCTCATGTCGCTTTTGTGAAATATTTTTAATACGAGCCATCTTTTTCCACGGTACTTGCTGACCACCATTGTGGATAAAAGGAGGCTGAACATAAGAAAAACGAAAGTCACCTTATTTTTCATTCGTTCATGCGCTAATTCATAGCTGGATTCGCATTTGAGGCGTTTTTCAAGGCTTTCCAAATTGTCCGGCAAGCAAGAAGAAAGCTGATCAGGAAACGCGACTCTCAACTGCTCCAGCGAAACATTGTGTCGATAAAGCATTTCGTACGCGGTTAAAACTGCAACACACAACTGAATAAAACAGTCCGTATCGGCGCTAACAACTTTGGAAGGAACTTCCGCAGGAGTACTTGTGCAGAACCAGGTTTACCGTAATGGAGACGACGGCTTCTGTTGAAGCTTGAAGGAGGATGAAGCTTTGCGTTAACGAACAATTTCAAGTAAGGTGATTTATTTAGAGTATGTTAACCTTGAAATTGCACGACTAGTCCTTTTTGTGCCTCTCTCTCCACAGCCTCCAAACTAATACGCCAACGAAACGATAGAAACAAAACACTCTTAACGAGAGCGTCAGTCGCTTCTCAACAGGTACTACTATAGCGGCGCCCATTTCGGCAGTTTCAACCCGCAAACGTTCCCACCTCTCGACGATTAAACTGATTTCCATCGAAAAATGAGTAAAAAGTTGAAAATTTCGGATTTTGTCGAAATGGAAATAGTACTGGAAAGCAATTTGTGGGCTCTGTAGCGCGCTAGCAAGCATTTTCGTGTCTGCGCAGAGTTTTTTGTGAACAGTTCCCGTATACAAATGATCAAATTAATGGGACACAAATCTGCATTCTAATCTGATTACCATTTTGATGTGGGCCAATTATCGAAAGAATTCAGTCTAGTTCCCAAATAATTGAGGAGGTTGTAAGAAGGGGGTTGCTACTGCCGCGATGCCTGTATTTGCTCCCAAAAGAAGAACCTTGCAAGAAGGCCATAGGTTTGGAGAATACACCTTTAGATAAATTCTTTGACTGCAGCGTAGGAATCACTTGTGTCCACTTTGAAATGCTCATCCGTATACCCTTCAAAACAGCAGTCACAGTGTCGACGGCATTTTTTTCTGCGATGAACCGGAACCATCGCCCGTCGCTGACCGCTCCCCATTTCTTTCCGAGCTCCGTGAGTCTCATGTCCGCGTTATCCGGCCTAAATAAATAAAATGAAATACTTGGTTTAATGCACTGTCTCAGTTATGATGGAATGCTAGAGCCGCTCTCATACAAGACCGTTCCGAGGAAATGACGTATCTGCGGAATCAGCAGATTCCGTGGAATTCGCGATTCTCCCCGAAACACAGAGGAGTGAGGCGAAACGATCATTTCCTGTCCAGCCCTTCCCGTCAATTCCTCCGTTGCTCCCGATATCGCGGACTATGCAGACTCCGTAGAGATGGGAGACACGTTGATTTCGAGAGGGTGAGACAAACAAAGGAAAACTTTGCGTCAGGGGTTATTCAGTGACCTAACAAGAAATATGACACTCATTTTTTCACCATTTCGAAGAAAACTTGCATACCGGTTATTTGATTTGACATCCTGATCACGAATAGGACATTCATTTTCGGTGCCAGCGCTAACGTACTGCATCGGATCATCAGCGCTCTGGTAAGGCTGAGCCTGTCGAGAAGGAAATCGCTCCTTCTTTTAAGCTCAGTCTTGACGGAGCACTAAATGGCGGTGGCGCCAGAAACGGAACGCTTTCGTGATCGAGACACCAAGTAACAACATTAGGCAAGTTCTACCGTGCTTGGTGAGAATGGTAGTTGCGCTTAGTTGGTGCCCAATGCCACCAAACGGCGACAGTCCCAAAAAAGAATGTCACATCGATAACTACTACAGACAAAGTTCCAGCAAAAAACGTTTTTGTGGGAGGGGGAGGGAGCGGGAAGAGTGTTCTGCTTCAATAGGTGCCCGCCAAATGATATTTATTCTTTATTCCGCAGGCTCGCCATTTCTCCGAAGCATCGTGTAGGAACGCAGGCCTCAATTCTACTTTGTAGGGTAGTCCCTTAATTTTGAGAACTTCCAAGGTATTAGGTTGGCGGGAAAGTTCTGCCACATTTTTTCAAATTAGACTTTCTTTTTACAGAGAGGCGTACAAGATCAAAATTATACAGCAATGTTATTGCGAGATCCTTGCCAGTTTTTGGGCACTTCGTGGATGCCATCGCTTCACAATGCACGCCGGCGCGACGCAAAGTTGGACATCATCTCAACTTTGACTTGGGCTCAAGTCGTGGAGGTTTTCTCGGTTAAATACGGGAGGCGATTAGCAGTCAGAAAGAACTATGTCTGATAAAGTGTTATCGGCTCTGTGCTCGTATCACGACAGATAAGTCCCGCGTGGCAGCAAACAAGTTAATACATGGTGCATCGGAGCCAAGTATACATCGAACCGAGGTCAAATTCTCGTAACTAGAACAAATCAAGTCACGTTGAAATTCAACCATAGGATCCAGTGAGGATCCTTACCTTTACTCGTCACAACAAGTCGAGTCACGTCGAAATTCAACAATAGGATCCAGTGAGGATCCTCACTATACAAGTCAAGTTGAAATTGAAATCCAGTGAGGATCAAATTCAACCATAGGGTCCAGTGAGGATCAAGTTCAACCCGGCTAAAATCCAGTGAGGATCAAGCCCAACCTATTCAAATCCAGTGAGGATCAAATTCAACCATAGGGTCCAGTGAGGATCCGCACCAGGCAGAAGAGATACAGGAAACGATGGAACAAGTTTTGAGGGAAGAATGTCAACGGATGGAAGAGGAAGAGCCTTCACCTCAAGTACAGCAGCTTCTACAACAGCATGAAGAGGAAGTAAACGCACTCAAACTCGAAGGAACCCCGTTTGAAGATGTAATACCTCACGACAATGGCCACCATCGAGCATTATGCCCCGTCCCGGACGCAAAGTGGAGGATCGAAGCCAGGGTGCAAGCAGCAGTTCGCGAATTACAGGAGATGGAAAGAAATCGACATTCAAGGCGGGGAATGTCGCGGCATTAATCCGCGACCAGGAAGATTCATCTACGATAATGATACCATCTTTACATCTGTTGTAACGATATCGTTCTCTTGTTTGATATACGTTGCATTGTTTCTTGACGTGGAGAAGTGTCTGGTTCAGTTATTCAAGTTGAAGTAAAGATAAAGTGTTGCGGCTCTGTGCTCGTATCACGACAGATAAGTCCCGCGTGGCAGCACACAAGCTATCACAGGTAGAGCCGTCCAGCTCCATTGCATGGCTTCGGCTCGAACTTTTTTGGACGGAGTGGGCCACCAGCACGTTGAAGACGGACTGTGCCGGCGAATTTTTTTCCCTCTGCTTGACGATTCGCTTCAGATCTCGTAGCTGCTTTGCGTACGATTGACCGAGGAGGCAGCTTCTTCATCCAGTAGTTTCCCGGCCCACAGCTATCTCAAGCTGAGATCACAGGTACTCCCAAACCTCACTTCGTCATTCAAACCGTAGGCTCCCGCTCTGGAGCGCTACCGTCGTGGAAGATCGTCTGATAATTGGAGACATTGTCCTTATGCAGCTCCATTATTTCGGCGTCGACAGCTGTCATGCTGGCGCCAGGGTGGTAGAAGAAAGAGTTGAAGGAAGCGCTTGAAGGGGTCGTGCCGAAGGTAGCGGATAACATTCTTGTCCATATTGCAGAATAAGGAGAAGCAGGAGTCGAGCCAGTGATACCAATAGAAAGACCAATCCTTGATGTATAACTGCTCACATTACCGGTTAACCCTCTTCAGGTAATAGGCAAATACTTGGGTTCAAAAAAGTATGACAAAACTTTCTCGCCAACCTACATTTCACTATGATCAGTTCAAGCATCACCTTATTATAAAATATATTGAAAAATAGAGAAGGGAACGGAAGCAAATATGGGGTTACATCTTGGTTAATAGCATAGCTAACCTCAGATGTAACCGGTGTTCCGCTCGTGACGTGAACATTCGATATGGCTCATTTGTGCCCAAACTTGTAAGGTCATCAATCAGCACACCAATGTATCCTGAACGAGAGCATAGTAAATATCGATTTTCAACTAAGCACAAGACAGCTCATCTGCCATGGGCAAAGAGAAACACAGATTTAGTGTACAGATGAAACGACAGCTACTTACCTTGGCTACGACGAATGATCATTCCATCTTCTCCTCGAACACGAGCTGCTGCATTGATGCCGGCCACCACACCTTAGAAAGGGAATCCGTATGGCCAATGTGGGGTGGGGCTGCGTTCATACTTCGCAACTGAATCGAAAAACGCGACTTCTACCACACTATAGCGCTAGAAATTTCTCCGCAGCAGATGCCCGACGATCAGTGATAGAGCGCGTTTTGATGCAGTCGCGCCAGAATCGCTCCAATCGCAAAGTATGATATGCGTGTATGCGACCTTGTTGAGTACAACCATAAAAAAGAAAATCTGATTTATAGCGAAATCATCGAACAACCTTGTGCTGCCGCTTCTTCATATCCTGTCGTTCCATTAATCTGACCGGCAAGAAAGAGGCCTTTCACTGACTTTGTTTCCAGTGTTGGTAACAACTGCTTGGGATCTACAAAATCGTATTGCACTCCGTAACCGTGTTGAGCGATCTCCACCTGGAAAAACAATAGCGGGGAAAAAAAATTGAGAAACGACGACACCATTCTTTATCAATAAACCTTCTCCAATCCTTTGATAGCCCTCATTATCTTAAGCTGAATATCGGGCGGAAAAGTCATGGACATTCCTTGCGGATAGATCAACTCGGAGTTCAATCCTTCATGCTCGAGGAACAGCTGAAAGAAGCTTTCTTTATTAGAATTCATCAACTGACTCAACGTAAGAAGACTCACAATACAAGTTTGCAATAGCTTTTTCGTCTTTTTTTTTGAAAATTCTAGACTTCAAGTTGCTTTCACAGCACTTATTATTCAAAATAAGCCAATCAAACCGACAAAAAAATTGAAAAAGCGCCTAAAAGCGAAGATGCGTCTCACATCTCACAAAATAGGGTATATAGTAAGATAGAAATAGAAATGTGAAGGGAAACAGATATGCAAACCTCTAAAGGCACTGACCCTATGATGAAGTTGCGGGAAGCGGATAATTTTCGATTCCAGCGATGGGCAATAACGAGGACCGCTCGCATCAGCTTTAATGTGTTCATTTCCTCCAAGTTTTCCTCGACTATCTCACGCACAAGATCGTTCGTATAGCCGATATATGTAGGAAGCTAAAATGACTTCATTAGAGGGTAAGAATGTCACGCCAACAAGCGATCATAAGAAAGAACCTGTTTGTCAGGAGGTAGCCAAACCTGGTCCGTCATAAATGAAAATGGTATTGGAACATGATCCGGAGGCATTATCTCAAATTGAGTGAAATCGATGGTATCCTGAAACAGTCTGTCTGAATTCAGCAAGAAAACGAGAAAGGCCGCTACTCAAAGTTTCATGCAAACTTGGGCGCAGTCTGGGTGTGGGGGGGGGGGGGGGGGGGGGGGGGGGGGGGCGGGCGCAGATCTGGGTGTGGGGGGGGGGGGCGGTGGGATGGCAGATTGCTGCATGTTCGCAACTTTCCATGATCGCCCATCATCAGGAGGAAATACGTGAAATCTTGTGAAGGCGACATGGTACCAGTCAAAGTTTGTAGAAACTACTCGCCAACTCTGTAAAGCAGTGAACACGGCGACTGGAAGAAGCAAAAGTACAAACTCTTCCCCCCCCCCCCTCTGAGCCGAACAGCGCCCAGATACCAAGTATTGGGCTAGCCCATAAGTAATGGCGCTTTTTTGCCATAGACTGTTTGATAGATAACTTCCTGCTCTATGATAGGGTGGTTACCTCCTTACTGTTTCGAAAATTTTGGTGATTTTTTTCATTGAATGGTAAATTCGGGTCGACCCAGAAGTGAGTTTTCGACCACTACTTTTTGAATTTCATCTCGGTTCTCTATAGAAGAAGTTCAAACGTTGTAGTATATATGACCAAAGAAAGGTGCATTTTATGGCAGCTTGAAGTTGGTTCAAGCTATCAAGTCGTGGGGGACCTTGTAAAAGAGCATCGCGTGGGGAGCCCATCTCTGCCTGCGGAACCCATCCACTAAGTTTTGAAGTTCTCCACTCAAGTGAAGGTGATGCTTGATAATGATAAGGAAGCATTCTATGACCTCTAACGATCCCTCAATCTTTGGCATGATTCTCAGTTAATAAGGTAATTCCGTAAGCTCTCAGCTGGACAGAATAGGGCATTAGGTTCGATGCTTGTCTATGAGGTCGAAACTGAAAACTTCGAATCACTTAAAGTATTATTAGTATTCCTAAGAGACGTAGCCTTTCAGCCATATACTTAGCAGCTGGCCCATGCGGTTTTAGCTTTTTAATTAGAGGTATAAAAGAGAGGCTGTCGAAAATGCTCAATTTCGTCGACCTGACACTCCAGTTTGAGCACTTAAATATTAGGAAAGAGAAACTTGAAGAAAACTAAGAATACTGTCGTGTAGGGCAAGGAATTCTCTGCAAAACGGTATAAAACTCAATGGCAAAACTTTTCTTCTTCAGCGCGATATTTCGAGTGGGAAAAAAACGCCATTACTTATGGGCCGTCCCAATACATTGCGAATGTAAAGCGTTTTCGTGGAATGCGCGAACCAGTACACGGTACGATTGGCTACTGGGCGGAGTAGCTTCACCCTCGTTTAATCCTCGTGCTTTCACTCGATTCGTGTATTCTCCAATTCACGCATTCTTCTTTTTCACAAAGTACAAACGCGATCTTAGAAATGGAAACCTTCAACAGACGAGGAGGAGTTCCAGTTCGAAGACGTGCAAGGCGGAAACCTAATTCTCTGAATGATTGCGACAAGCCCATAGCACTCTGCAACGAAAAATGCATTGCAGGCTTATGCAGGATGAAGGATATTCAAGTAAATACCTTTTCACCGATCCTTCCAGCAGGCCATCTATCTTTGCCTAAAAATATCTCTCCTCCTAGAAATGTTCCCGTTGCTATCACAACGGTTTTTGCCCTAAATATGAAATAGTACTTCAATCAATGACTCCTTTGAGGAAAGACTAAGGTGCTGTTCGGCTTGGAGGGGCACCGAATAGTGGCACTCAGCAATGCCTCTACAGCCCACCTTGAGAAGTCACGTGAATTTCTTTCGCCAAAGTGAATCTCTTGTACCATTTAGCAGTTCACAAGAGTTTAGCTATTAGTTAACGTGGTTTAGCAAGAAAAAGCAAAATGCCCCTTCTTAGCCGACCAGTGCCGACTAATGATCTACAGCCACTCACTCCAGCTTCCTGCCATTCTCCAAGATTACACCAGTGACTCGTCTCTCGTTGCCATTTTCAACAGTTAGCATTTGCACACCACCTTCGACAACTTCAAGGTTTTCGGTATTGGAAATCTCCTGAAACAGTAACATATGTGACTTCAATTTGTTAGTGACTTATATTACGACTGCAAATCGTAATATTGGCTTCCACTATGAACACGTAAGAGTTAATGGACTATAAGAACAAGAAAAAGCAGGAAATCCCACCGAAAACACCCTGAATGAGGTATAAGACACGTCTAATTTTTAGGACTAGTATAGCATGGGGTGAGCAGAGACGCAGAGAAGCTCTGCGCGAGACCTAAAGCGCACAAAGTTGCGTGAACAGTGAAGGTAAATACGTCCTAGTGTTTTTGCTGCAGTCATTCTATTTGCAAAAGAAAGGAGCGTGGAGAGAGGATGGGAGCATAGCCAAGGTAGCCTTTTCCACATACTGACGCGCAAATGCTCGGGGAAAAGGCTGCTCTGGCTGCGCCTACGACTGCGTTCATACTTGCAACGCGGTGTTCTGGAAGAATCGGCGTTCTGAGCGAAAAGCATGGGTATTGATAAGGGCTCAAAACGCCTATTCTCTGCGAACGCTCAAAACGTGATTCTATCAAAACGCTCGATCAATACCTATGGCTTCCTTAGGCTGCGTTTATACTTTGTGGCAGCGTAGTGTAGCGCTTCCAGCCTTTCACTTTCACTAGCGTTTCGCTAGCGCTTGCAGCGGCAGGGCTAGAGAGTATA